GACGAGGTTGGCCCACGCGCCCTCGATCAGCTGCATGCAGCCGAACATGCAAATCCAGAATCCATGCGACAGAGGGAGATCATAAATTGTCAAAATTTGGACACGATACGATTTATTCAACAAATTCTCAAGAAACTTCAAGAAAATATTCAAAATATTACCAATTTTATAATGAAATTGAAGAGCAGATATCAGTAAAGAGTTTATATTACTTTTAACCTTGTTTTATTGCCTCTATTTTTTATAGCCTCTGTTAATTTAAAAGTGTAGGTTCATTTTCCCAGGAATTCCTATAAATTAATTATCATAATTGTTGACTTGAAGATCGAACAAGAAAGTTGACCCAGAAGGCGGCAAGGTACGAAAGCCCTGTAGTGCCATCAAGTATATATTTTGTCCAAGTTCGTTTTTATGAGATACATTTTGTCGAAGTTCGTTTTTATGAGATATATTTTACGGAGTTATGGAGTTTTATGAAGTTACGGAGCCCCTAAAGGGACATCCAACATTATTTCCTTATCTCGTGCGCACGACATAATATCTCGTGCGCACGACATATATCTCGTGCGCACGACATATATCTCGTGCGCACGAGATAATTATGTCGTGCGCACGAGATATATGTCGTGCGCACGAGATATTATGTCGTGCGCACGAGATAAAAAAATAATTTTGGATGTTCCTTTAGGGGCTCCGTACCTGACACGCTGCTTTCGTTACACACAAACTCGTCCGCTGCACGTGCAGCAAGCTCCGTTAATACTTATAATTATCTCGTGCGCACGAGATATATGTCGTGCGCACGAGATATATGTCGTGCGCAAGTGATAATTATCTCGTGCGCATGAGATATTATGTCGTGCGCACGAGATAAGGAAATAATTTTGGATGTCCCTTTAGGGGCTCCGTAACTTCATAAAACTCCGTAACTCCGTAAAATATATCTCATAAAAACGAACTTCGACAAAATGTATCTCATAAAAACGAACTTCGAGAAAATATATCTCATAAAAACGAACTTCGAGAAAATACATCTCATAAAAACGAACTTCGAGAAAATGTATCTCATAAAAACGAACTTTGACAAAATGTATCTCGTAAAAACAAACTTTGGGAAAAATGTATCTCATAAAAACGAACTTCGACAAAATGTATCTCGTAAAAACGAACTTTGGGAAAAATGTATCTCATAAAAACGAACTTCGACAAAATGTATCTCGTAAAAACGAACTTTGGGAAAAATGTATCTCATAAAAACGAACTTCGACACAAATGTATCTCGTAAAAACGAACTTTGGGAAAAATGTATCTCATAAAAACGAACTTCGACAAAATGTATCTCGTAAAAACGAACTTTGGGAAAAATGTATCTCATAAAAACGAACTTCGACAAAATGTATCTCGTAAATTCGAACGAAGGGAAAAATGTATCTCATAAAAACGAACTTCGACAAAATATATACTTGATGGCACTACAGGGCTTTCGAAGCAAGGAGATACAGAAGTGATCAACGAGATCAAGAAGAGCACGAAGAAAGCGAAAAAACTGGATTGAAGAGCAGTTCGCAGACATGGAGGGGGTTTACAAAACTGTCAAAGTAATCAAGGACGAGATCCTTAAAAGCAAGAGATCCTCAAACGTTGGAAAGACAACCACACGGGTGCACCCCAGTATAAGAATTCCCATAGACACCAGTGATAATTATATTATACTCGTCATATATATAATAATAGTGTCCAGTCAGTATACGCGTATACTGGCTGATGGCCATCTGCTTCAGATGGCCATACTTTACATTTCTTTTAAAAATACTCAGAACTCTCACAGGTGTTCATGCAGGCTGCACAGAAAAATGATGATCAACATGTCATCTTTCATTTTCTGTTCAATTTTTGGTGGGTTACTTCTCGAGAAACTCTCACTCCAAGAAGACCACCCCTAAAACGAGTGATGTTTCCCAAACTGGAAAAAGTAGCCATCTTGAAAAATGATCCCTCCGCAACATGGCTAAATACCGCCACTTTCGAGCTCAGTTGCAGCCAAAATACACAGAATTGGAAGCCCAAGTCCAGGCCAGAGGTACATTCCCCAATTCCATGGCTCTCATAACTGTCTAATATAGAATAAATTCGGCTCATGCAGGCGCAGTTCTAGAGCCAATATTTTGGGGGGCTAGCAAGGTAGATCCAGATTTTTTCAGGGAGGCGTGCTGAAATGTAGTTATTTTCTCCGGACACTTAGGCCTCTGAAAATCAATACGGGGGGGGGGGGGGGGGGGGGGGGGGGGGTCGTGCCATATTTTCAACGGGGAGCGCTGCAATCAGGCACACTATATTAACTAAAAGTGTACAAAATGCACCCTTCTCATTTAGGGGGAGAACGTTCCCATGTACGTCAAATTCTTACATTTTGCTAGTGCATTTTTTTTAATGGAATTTTTATTTGGGGGGGGGGGGGGCTAGACAAAATTGGGGGGGGGGGGGCTAAAGCTCCCCCTCGCCCCCCGTAGAACCGCCACTGGGCTCATGTTTAGTTAGTTGGAAAGAATTCCATGATTATGGCCATCACTAATTTTTCCCTGCAATGACCGAAAGCGATAAGATGTCTTAAAAAGTCAAATATAGCAGGGAAAGTATTGAACCATTAACTCAGAAACACTTTAAAAAAAATTCAGACCAGTCTCATAGGGTTTGTGCACAGGGTGTCAAGTGATGTCCAGTTATGGATTTCTTTCCAGTTATTGAATTATTTGTGAATTATTGGCTGCCAGACAATAATTAATTGCCGTTCTTGCGGAATATATTTGTTCCTGCCCCACAATCAGTATCGACAATGCACGGACCGGGAGGAGCCGGTCTGCTCGCAAAGCGGATCTGTTTGCAGGCGGGATAATTGTATCGAAAAGTGCACTTCTTTAAAGATTTGAACTGGAACAGGATTTGAACGGTAGCTCCAGATTGCGCAACATATGATTTAAAAAGCCAACTCAAGACTCAAATTTTTGTACCGATATCAAAATAGTTACAAAGTACAAAGGCTAGGAAAATCTTGTGTACGGCCTTAATATCTTGCCACTTTGATTATTGTTGCTGATCCTGGTATTCTTCACTGTCACAAATATTCAAAAACAAACTTCAAATTTGCCAAAACAAAACTATCCGCTTTATCAACAACCTCCCCTCTAGATCCCATATTGTTTACACATAATTTTATGAAATAGGATGGCTGGATATTCACCATAGAGTGGAGTTTCTTTAAAAAGCAAATCATGTTCATAACATTTTTCACCAAAAATCCCCCACTTATCTCAAACACAATTTTACCTACATTACGGAAGTTCACTACTACCTAACGAGATCTAAGCAATTTAATTTTTTGTTCCACACATTAAAGGAACAGAATCAACTCTTTTTTCTACACTGGAATTACATTATGGAATTCACTTCCATCCATCCTGAAACTGCATGAAAGGAAAACCTTGTTTAAAACCAACCTCAAAGCATTCATTTTTTAAACAAAATCCTAGCTTCCGAATCCAGCTAAAGATTTTACTTGTTCATTCCCGATGATAATTTTTGTTTTTGGTTTTTAAGTGCAATGATGTGCTGTGCGGTCGTTCGAGCAATAAAATCCCGAGCGCAGGGGGTTAAAGGCTATACAGATTTTTAGTGCTTTTTATTGCCATATGATCTAAGTTAAGATTTTTATATAATACATTCCTTTCAGATTACTGTTTAAAGGGAAAATGTAGTAGGATTTTTATTACTTAACTTCAGTTTAAACAGCTTTCTTGCCATGTAACAATGACTGTCCACCTCCTTTGTGGCTGTGAGGGGGGATGGGGATAGGTTACATCATTTTAGTTACCTGTTTTTAGGCTAAAGGAAATTTCCTAATTCATGAGCCAGGGTGTGATGTCATTCAAGGCAGAGCGATAGTGTCTCCATAGCTTTGTGTACTAATATACTGTCAGCTTTTCTTCATTTTCTTTAGGTAACTTCCACATTTTACTTATAAATCACGTTTTAACAGCTTGTTTGGACAAAAGTAGTGGATAATATTTTTCCTAAACTTTTGTTTTTGGGTAATTCTGAAGGACTAATTTCTGTACTGTTCATAATGCACTTTTGACAAGGAATACCTTGTGTGACGAGGGCAGGATGGCGTCCTCTTACATGCATTGATGTATTAATAGCGATGTTTTTTGTGTTTTTTTAATGTAATTTAAATAAAACATATTTTTATATGAACTTCATCTTATACATGTTCATGTATATGTTTTTTAACCACGGTTACTAGTATTTTTTGTATTGTTTAATCTTTTATTTTTGTATATTTAATTAAATCTAAGCAGATGAATTTAAATTATTGTCTTAATCAAGTACATGTACATCATAAATGTTGATGTTAACAAGATGTTTAATATAGGTCTGGGTCGGTCGTAATTCGTAGTTTTGTCTTTTTGGTGCAATATTAAGTAATTGAAAGATTTTTGATGGTTTTAAATTTAAGATATCGTGTATTAAGCTTAGGTATATATACATTTTTCCTCACTTTGTATATGTGCTTTTAATAACAGGAAAATGCTTTGTCGGCTTTAATATGAAGTGTTGATTTTTATACTCTGTATATGTAGGCCTATAGGAGGTACAATGCATAAGACACATTTTTGGGACCGCAATGGAAATAAGTTTTATAAGTTTTTTTTGCGTTGTCCCCGCTTTTTCCACTGCATGGGGATTTTCTAAGTCTTATTGTTATTTTTTTATACGACTTTTGATAAATTTTGATGTGTTTTGTTAAATCTTAACTTATATTCAAACTGTATCATCATTGTGTGGAAATTGCAAATAAATCAAATCAAATCAAATCAAATCAAATTCGTTGTCATAGAGCAAGGGATACATGTATATTGTGCATTGATATTGCAATGACCACTCAGGGCCATCGTAGTGGTAGTTATGCGCGGCCGGCTTGCCCGAAGTCCGGCAGCCGAAAATCAGGCCCAAATTTCGTGTACGACGCAGCATGGTATAGGAAGCATGCATGTGTGCATAGCGCATCTACCATTGATCTACACTGATCTAGTACATGACACATTGGCGTCATTGTACTATTGTAGTGAAATAATTAGTCGTTAAAAAGGCATAACAAAAAATAGCAATTTGAGCACTAGCAACCAAGTTTCTGGGATCGAAATTGAGCCTGTTTTAAGGACCTACCGAGGAAATCATCGGCATGACCTCATTCAAAGGTGAGTTTTATTTCTTAAGTTTTAAGATAGTGGATATTTTGCCGGAGGTAATGACGGCAAACTAACGTTTACTAAAGGTTTGCCGGCGGCAATCCATATCAACAGAGGGCGCTGTGCTCTTTAAGATAGGGCTGAATTATAAGATGTATTAAATTCCCACCAAAAGTTGTGTAGCACGTTTGGGGTAGTGGTTAAGCAAAGGCAGTGGATATTTTGCCGGAGACGGCAAACCTTTAGTAAACGTTAGTTTGCCGGATATGCACTGAACATGCGCAGTTACTGTTTTTTTGTACTTAAAAACATTTTCCGGTGACAAATTTTAGTCTGGCTCCATGCCAATATTATCGTTGTAACCTCGTATTCACAAGATGGGATTCAGACCATTTTATAATTTCGGACTTATTTCCCTTTTAAAAAATCTGAAAAAGAAAATGTAAAACTCTGCAATAAAATGTTTGAGACATATTAAAATAATAAAAGAAGAATATTCTTATTTATTTGGGGATGGGAAAAAAAACTTAAAAATGTGGCGGCGATCGGATTCGTACTCGAGTCATCCCACACACTAGAGCTTTTGCTTAAGGCAGTGGATATTTTGCCGGAGACAGCAAACCTTCAGTAAACGTTAGTTTGCCGGATGTGCACTGAACATGCGCAGTTACTGTTTTTTTGTACTTAAACATTTTCCGGTGACAAATTTTAGTCTGGCTCCATGCCAATATTATAGTTGTATTTTTGTATTTACAAGATGGGAATCAGACCATTTTATAATTTCGGACTTTATTTCCCTTTAAAAAAATATCCTCCAGAGCCACAAATCTGAAAAAAAAAAGTAATACTCTGCAATAAAATGTTTGAGACATATTAAAATAATCAAAGAAGAATATTCTTATTAATTTGGGGATGGGAAAAAAAACCCTTGGAATTATGGCGGGGATCAGGATTCGAACTCGGGACATCCTACTCACTAGAACCATTGCTTAACCACTGCACCGACTGTGCTACACAACTTTGGTGGGAATTTAATACATGTTATAATTCAGCCCTATCTTTAAGAGTACAGCGCCCTCTGTTGATATGGATTGCCGCCGGCAAACCTTTAGTAAACGTTAGTTTGCCGGCGTTACCTCCGGCAAAATATCCACTACCTTAATTTAAACAATGATAAAGTCACCAGTTTCACGTGTAACACTAACATAACAGGAACAGTGTCCATGTTACACGTGAAACGATGTTTTTCGTCTCGTAAGAAGAAAATCAAGTCCTTGACCCCCAAAGAGCCCTTACGTGCTAAGGGCTCTTTGGGGGTCAAGGACCAAATACCACAGAATACTACATGTGTTGTTGGAAAGAAATACATTCTACAGGTTAGGCCCCCCCAAAAAGTCTCCGGTTTCTGGTATGCGCGCGCGTCGCCGTAGCCATGCGCGTCGGCAAAATGAAAAAGTTTTTTTTTCAGTGAAAGATGATGTCTCAAAACCGCCAAACTCACTGGTTTGACTGGAATCCTGCTACTGCACAATTTTAACATGTTTTTAGATGGGGTTATGATCGAGAATAAGCTTTATGTGGCCTCTCTGGACTCCCATATATTTGCACTAAGTTTAGTCGGGCACCATTTGCAGTCATCAGCCGACATTTGAAGCGAAAAAGTCAGGTAAAAAAAAAAAAAAGCCGCGTCGCCGCACCACTTTTTGGACAAGCTCCATACCAGAAACCGGAGACTTATTTTTTTTGGCCTTACTACTCAGTCAGTGCGCAGGGTTTCAGAAAAGTGCTTGCATTTATTTGCAGCGTATGCATAACTCGCTTGGTAAAATGAATATTCATGAGATCGGGGGACCACATTTGAAAATTCATTTTTTGATAACTAGTCTTTAAAAGAAAGTTTTTACTCACAAATATAGTAGAGAATACTCAAGCCTAATTGTGAAATGAGATTTCTAAAGTATTTTAAGAAATATGAGGATGAAAGTTTTACTGAAATTGTCGAGAAATTTCGGTTTGCGAAAACCGTCTTTTTTCTATATAAAACGAAACCGTGCAGCATCATTTTACAGTTTGATGAGAAGCTTTGTTATTAAATTCACCAATTATCATAACCATGAATCATGTAAGTACTCAAACAGTCAGGAGCACGCAAAATTTACGGCCATTCTGAACGTTCAGGATAACGAAAAAAATTACACTCTGGAAGCACGTGTAAGCACCGCACAGCATGAGTGTACATTCCTCATTGGGCAAGACCCGCAACCAACACGCGTTTTGACCAATCAGGTAACAGCACATGAGGCTTCCGTATGTCGGGTACCCCGTTCTATGCGTGCTTATGGATATCTTATAATCTCGAACTAAATGTGCCCGACTATAGAATATAAACTGGCGATGTGTCCTCTCTCAAAGTTTCAACGACTAGCTGTGCAAGAAAATAATATACTTTCAATGCTATTCCTATTTCTAGACCGTTATGATTTAAGATTAATGTAATAAACCATTATTTTTTGGCAATAATGTCTCCCATTTTCTAGATGCTTTTTGTTTGTTGACAGTTTCAATGTGCATGAACATGAAAAATATAAACACAAAAAACAATGTGTATGACTATATAAACATGAAAATATAAACACAAATAATCAAAGGCATGTCTCTTTTCATGACTGAAATTCTGTAAAACGATTTAATCATAAAATCAGAAGTGCAAAGTTACATACTTTTGAGCTGGATTTAATCATTACATCAGTGAGTTAACATATTACTAAAACCCTGGAAACTTGAACCACTTACACTTACAAAACATTGCTTACAAAAGAAAGTTTCTGAAAACATAGAATGACTTAGGCCCTAATTATAAATATAAAGCAACTTTAAAAAAATGAACTTAAAAATACATGCAAGCCAAACTTTCTTCAAAGTGCGAGGTTAATAATGCTCGCTCTAGGATGTACATGTATACACTTTCTTGCTATATTTCATGAGCTTATAAAATAAATTCCCTACCCAAGCTTGCCCATAAGCAACTCAACCTAGGACAATAACAAGGCCATTGAACTGCTCCATTCCTTGACAATAATAGTTAAATATGCAAACATTTACACAAATCTTTACAATCTTTACAAGCTTTGTTTAGAGTGCAGTGTATAGCTGTTTGCAGACATTTTCATCATATTTTTGTTTTTTAAATATACAGCACACTCACAAAATGACTTAATTGAAAAAGAAAGAAAGTGGAAATTCAGCAATGATTGAATTGATTCTTCAGGGTTCTTTTTATACATGATCTGAATACAACATGCCATGAAAATCCTTGACGCCTGATTTGTGGGTTGTTGACAACAAGTCTTTGAATTTAGGCATGCAAAAAATAAGGATTTCGGTCTAGTGATGTGTCCGGTCAGATTGACCAGGCCAAACCATCCCAAAACATTATTTTGTAAACCGGAATCCGAACGGAAACCAATTTGAACTCCCTAAAACCAACCTGATCCGACCTGACAAAATTTAAGAAAACCAACGGAAAAAAAAATGTTGCAACCTGACCAGGGCTCGATTTACCCGGTGCACGCATGCACCAGTGCATGTAGATTTTTGCTTGTGCACGTAGCTTTTTAATTGAGCATGCATGACGTGCATGTAACTTTTTTAGCCACCAAAATACTCATTTCATGCATATATTTACAAATAAGTGAGAATAAGAATAAAGTTTGTTGAATACTTGACCAGATAGTGTACAAACGTGTTATTTCTTTTATATATCCATAAATTATTCCTCGCACTGTCGCAGCAGATTCAGAGTTGGCAAGATCTCCACGTCCTGCAACCTCCTCCGATCATGCATGTGATTTACCACGTGATACATGCTGCGGATAAGTTGGTATCACAGTGACGCTCCTGGCATTCCTTATGTCCGGATCATAAGTGGGATTCCAAATTATTAGCTGTGTTTATCACGTGGTCTCGTTATTAGCCAATCAGACGCCGTCTATCATATGCGCCACATGAAGCAGACGGGTAGCTCGGAGGGCTCCGATAACTTTGCACGCAAATGACCCTGGGTGCTTGTGTCACTTGTCGGGTTAAAATCTAATTTCAACATGTTCGTATGGGTCTACATCGACGGCAAATTTCGTCGAAATGACACATCCTGAACACACGGGAAGGCAAATTTAGATTTCTATGTAAGTACTCAACATATGTACGAAATTATGTATGGCGGATCAATTTCGCCATGTTCGAAATGTCACAACAGCGTGGCATATACAACGCCACGTTCACGGGTCTAGGCTTGTATTGAGCATGATCGAGTAAAAAAGGCTATGTACTGTACTGTCTGTAGAAAGTTCGATAAATCAAAGAGAAAGAATGCCTTCAGAGAAGCAGACAGGTGTAAGTCAATTTTGGTGCATGAGGGTTTTTCTTGGCGCATGCAGGTTTTTTTGTCTACATGCACCAGTGCATGCCACTTTTTTTGGTAAATCGAGCCCTGAACCTGACCCACTTCCATGATTGTGTACAAAGTCTATGTAGAGTCAAGACAATTTTAAGTATTTTCTAACAACATTGGAAATTTATGGAAAAAAAAGTGGCCTCAGGTTGCAACATTTCTTCCGTGTGAATTTCCAAACTGTTTGGTTTATTTCGGGTTGAACTGACTCAACACAATTAAAAGACTTCAAACGCAATACCGAAACCAACCTGGCCCGACTGAAATGATGGACAAACTTATGGCGACCTAACAGAAAGTCAGTTTAAGCAAGTTTGGTCGGTTTCTGGTCGGATTTGAACAACACTTATCCGGTCGCAGCATTAAGTTTCATTTCATGGTAAATAAAGTTCCATTGAAATAGTTGCGAACTGTCTGCAAGTTCAGGTGTTGTGTTCAACTAGTCTTGACAGGGAAAAGGGTCAATCACTCTGCGTACTTGGCCTGTATAAAGAAAACAGAAAGAGAGAAAACAAATCTAAGTAATTATCTACATGTATTTTTTTGCTGATTTAGGAAGGAATTGTTTCGACTACTTAAAAAAATCCCATCCTCACCGCAAGATCTGAAAAAAGTACCAGAAAAGAATTGTTCTTCATATTTTATGACTGACATGAATTGACCGACAAGGACAATCTTGAGTGATGCCTGTTTAATTTCATGAATTAAAAAAAAAAAATTCTGATTTTTAATCGTATAGTATAAACATTGTTCGTACTTGCGACATGCAAAACTAACGGGTAGGAACCTATTGTCGACATCGGTGGTAATGCACCCACAAAAGACGCACACAGTACACACAAACCCGTACACAAAATACACGTATGACGTCATTCGAATCGCACATTGCGACTGCAATCATGCAATTTTCGCAAATATTTCGTATCAAATAAAAAATCGGCGGTAGAACCTGCAGAGATGGGAATGGTATGGTTCGAAAGCGTACTCTTCAACTTACCAGAAAGTGACGAATTTTGTCCCCAAATATCCCAAAACAGTCAGGAGCACCCAAAAAGTACAGGCATTGTCGAAAATGTTCGAGAATCACCTCTCATTTCACATCGCTCATTATAACTTTAAGCTTGTAATAATCAGCAAAAATGGTATCATTCGAGGCGCAGAAATTATCGTAGTTTCAGAATCCACTCC